CCCCTCAAGTATTCCCTCAGTGACGAGCGGCTCGCCACTACCTTTCATGCTGTGGCAGGTCGCTTTGGCTGAGGGCCACGCTCTGGCCGACACTCTCTACAACAACCTGCCCCGCACGGCCGATCACACCAACGTGCCCTCTGGTAAGCTCCACTGTCCGCCTCTTTTTCATGGATTAGCTGTTGCTTGTGCTTAACGCTCACTGTCCAACAATCAATTAATCATTGACTGCTGCCAGCCGTGTTCACGTCGCCGCCGGTGTCGTGCGTGGGCTACACCGAGACGCAGGCCCGACAGGTCTACGGTGAGATCGATGTCTACGTCTCCAAGTTCACGCCCCTCAGGCACACCCTGTCCAAGCGTGACGAGAAGACCTTCATGAAGCTCATCGTCGACAGGAAGACCGACCGAGTCGTTGGCGCTCACATGGTCGGTGCCGACGCCCCCGAGATCATCCAGGTACACACACGTTAAGCGTAGCTTCCGCGTAAAGAACGAGAGTTCTCGATTTGCTGACTACCGATCCCTTCAACATCGACGACGCGCAGGGCGTGGCGATCGCTGTCAAGTGCGGCGCCACCAAGAAGCAGTTTGATTCCACCGTCGGCATCCACCCGTCCGCGGCCGAGGAGTTCGTGACCATGCGAACCAAGAGGGAGTAGAGGTGCCCCTTCAGTGCAGTACAAGCTGGCATCGTGCGCCCGAAAGGCAGACGAACAATAGAGGTGCTCTCTTTTGTTGAACGTTTGCTCTTCTTCAGCCCGTCAGTAGCTTTTCTTTTCGGTATATTGGGGGGGGGGGGTTGTCGGCATTAGGCAAGTGGCTACCGGTCAACACCGGCGGTGGTGGAGCTGAAGACTTCCACCACCACCAACACCACCAACACCACTAGACCTATGGCGTCCGCGGACGGGTGCGTCCAGCCGCAGGCCAAGAGCCGAACCAAGCGCTACCGGTATGTGAAGCCCTCTCCCCCCTCCCCCTTTGAGAAGACGACCACAACAAAGAAGAAGAAGGAGAAGGCTGCTCACTTGTTTGTTGGTCTGGATCCTATGCGCACATGCTATGCCGGTGGTCATATTTGTGGTTTATTGTGTCATTCATCATTTTATGATTCTTCGTCTCACTGATGCGCTCACGTTGCGGTGATTTGACCTCTTGAGATCGCAGCCTGTTCCTCGGCCGCCGCAGCTGCGTTCTGTTCTTGAGCAGT